TAACCTCAGGGGGCATTCATCAATTTTAACGGTTACATACATCGAAGTAAATTCGCTTCTAAGACAATGATTTGTACAACACTATGATTTGTTTTCACATTTTATTATTTATTTAATTTGTTCTGTTAGTACTTACGTATTATCTTGCAACGGTAAATTTTACCAACAGTTAAAAGTGTATATAAAGCGTAAATATAAAAAATGAGTTTATTGATCAAAGTATTAAGTAAGATTCTTATGAATCTGTATATCCAACTAAAAATAATAAGGTGATGTACACTGAAATATCGTGGCTACCACTCTTTTAAAGATGTCGTTCATTGACACTGTCACAAAATCTATCAACTATTGTATGAAAAAAATAAGTTCGGACTATAAATTTTACTATATTACCACTATATGAAATAGGCAAACAGAAGCAAGTTAAGCATAATAATAGCACAAAATAATGAGGGCATTTAACATAATCCATAGCACAATAAATGATAGAGCGGTTAATGGATGAATGCAGATTCTACCAAAACAAAATACGAGTATTTTTCTTGGTTAAATGCGTAGAGTAAGTAAGCAATATTCGTAAGTTATAATATTGGTTAATAACTTAATCTAATAGGATTAGAGAGCTAGAGGTACAAGATTTATATAATCATAATATGATTAGAACAAAAAAAATCACCAAATAGAGGAGTTACATAATATAATTAGTAAGTGTTACTTAAATATTCGTAATCTTAGTATTCCTTTAATTTATAACAAAATTTAATAATTAAAGTATTTTTCCATTATTTTTGTATTTCCCCACATTATATCTATCATCTAGTAAAAGAGTGAATGATCAAATGGAACTGGCCTAAGAAGGCTTGAGTGCAATGTCTAACTGTGACCAAGAGCAATAACCGCATTATCTTTTCCCATTATGTTAATAACTAAAGGTACAAACTATAATTATACTAATACAATCCTCAATAAATACAATGCTCAGTTACGTAGTGAAATCCTCCATGAGTCACTTTGTAGTCCACTTTCAGTTCACCCAGGTAGTAACAAGATGTATCAGAAGCTTCGAAAGTTGTACTGGTGGTCGGGCATGAAAATGGAAGTGTCAGAGTTTGCCGCTAGATGCTTAGTGTGTTAACATGTTAAAGTGAAACACCAGATTCCTTCAGTATTACTTCAGCCCATTTAGATTCCTCATTGAAAATGGGACATAGTAACAATGGTCTACGTGACTGGGTTACCCATGACTAGATAGAGACAACTCAATTTGGGTAATAGTAGACCGTCTAACAAATCAGCTCACTTTCTCCCAGTTAGGATGGATTATACCTTAGAGAGGTTAGCTCAGTTATACATCCATAAGATAGGAAGGTTGGACGAGGTACTAATTTCCATCATATTCGACAGACATCCCCGATTCACTTCCCAATTCTAGAAAGCACTTCATTAATCCCTAGACACCAAACTAAATTTCAGTACAACTTTATATCCTAAGATAGACATTTAGTCAGAACATGTCATTCAGATCTTAGAAGAAATGCTTAGGTGCACCATTACAGATCTTGAGGGTGGTTAAGAGGACCACCAACCATTAGTGGAATTCGCATAAAACAACAAATTCCTGTCATGTATTCAGATGGCTCCGTATGAGGCCTTGTATAGACACAAGTGTAGAACTCCACTATGTTGGATAGAACTCGATGAGGGAAAGATAGTGAGTCCAGACTTGATCAGACAAACTGATAAAAATGTTTGGCTAATTCAGGTCCGGTTAAAAGAAGCCTTAGATAGACAGAGATCCTATGCAGATTTCAAGCGCAAGGATATAGAGTTTGCAGTAGGGGTCAAAGTGTTCTTCAAGGTTTCCCCATGGAAGAAAGTGCTTTGCTTTGGTCACAAAGGGAAGTTGATCTCGCACTTTATAGGGCTTTATAAGGTACTAGAGAGAGTTGGACCAATAGCATACTTGTTGGCCTTACCACTATAGTTGAAGTGCATCCACAATATTTTCCATGTATTCATGCTTTGGATATACATATCAGACCCATCTCACGTCAAACCTATAGAGCAGATCGAGGTGAGCCCAAATATGACATATGAGGAGGAACTGATCAGAATATTTAGCAAGATATGTAAAGGATTCCTTTAGTGAAGGTGTTATAGAGGAACCATGTCGTTGAGGAACCGACCTGGGAAACAGAAGAGGACATGTAGCTTTAGTACCCTCACCTATTCTATCTAGGTAAATTTTTAGATAAAAATTTAATTAGGAGAAGAGAGTTGTAATACCCCGAATCCCAGGTTAGTAGTTTCAATTTAATCTAAGTGGGTCTTGGAATAAATCCATTAGCCTTGTAAGAAAGCTTAACCCAAATGAGTGTTGGATTGGGCTTGTTTGAGGCTCAAAATGAGTAAAAAAATGGGTATTTTTAATCTAAAGTTAAAAGATGAAGGACTAAGAGAGAAATTTCCACATAAACTTTTGAAACATAATTTTTTCTCTTCTTCTAATCCTTTATCTTTCATTTTCCTCTCAACCTAGAACCAACAAAGGTGATAACTTGGTGGCCTTACAACCCTGGTTTGACATTCTAAAGGTAAGAATCTTAATCTTCAACTTCATAACATCAAATAAAGCCCTCAACCTCTTCATTTAACCATGGTAGCCAAATATGAGTTTTGTAAGGGTTTATAGAACTTAAGTATTTCAATCCTTGTTAACCTTTAAATCAAGCTAGTAACATATGTGGTTGATTCTTATCTAGTGAGAGAAGTTGGAGAAAGCTCCAAGGCTAAGGGAAAGGAGAAGCTAGTGCTTGGTTGAGCTTTAGGTGTTTCCAGTAGTTTAGACATTCAAGGTAACTCACTTCTAACTAAACTCTACTACATTGTAGGTCACTAGGTGAGTTTGTTAGCTTGCATGTGTCATGAAGCATGTTCATGGTAGATTTTAGTGTTTGGGTGTTATCAGGATGTTTAGAGACTTATTATGACTCCTATTATTAGACATAACACTCTAATAAAATTTGGGGACCTCAGTAAGACATTTAGGAGTGCTGGAGAGACATTTTTATGCCCAAAATAGGGTATGTATAGGCATAAGTATCGATACTAGAAGGACAATATCGATGTTAATCTTCAGATGTTAAAAATAAAGAGATTTTTAGGTTAGAAGTATCGATACTCATGCAATGGGTATCAATATTTTAGGTGAGGTATCAATACTCGTATCGATACCAAGTTCACTTAGCAAATTTCAGTAGTCATTTTTGGTATCGATACTCATGAGGAGTATCAATACAAAGGGTAGTGTATTGAAACTCCCTGACAGGGGTATTGATACTTAGTTATTTTTCAAAACATCAAAGCCAAAGTTGGTATCGATACTCAGGACGATATCAATACCACTGACTAGAAGTATTGATACTCAACTTAGAGTATCGATAACCACCCTTTGTTACTAGGCTTCAATAAGTTAGTAGCATTAATACCAAGAGGTTAGTATCGATACCCAGGGGTTAGTACTGATACTGAAGGGCTTAGTATTGGTACCAACGAATAGTTTTAGGAAAGAACCCCAAGAGTTTTAAGGGATATAATTAAGGGACCCAATAACGACATAACATCATGAAATAAATCTACAAGTGAGAACAATAATAAACATTTCACCAAATAGAGGAGTTACATAATATAATTAGTAAGTATTGCTTACTTAAATATTCGTATTCTTAGCATTCCTTTAATTTATAACAAAATTTAATAATTAAAGTAATTTTCCATTATTTTGTCCCCCCATTATATCTATCATCTAGTAAAAGAGTGCATGATCAAATGGAACTGGCCTAAGAAGGCTTGAGTGCAATGTCTAACTGTGACCAAGTGCAATAACCACACTATCTTTTCCCATTATGTTAATAACTAAAGGTACAAACTATAATTATACTAATACAATCCTTGATAAATACAACAAATAATTGCATTCAATATCCATATAAAAAAATAAAATCAAAGCAATCAATTCAATATCCAAATAAAAGAATCGAATCAACATATAAATTAAACTAATCGAAATAATGCATAAATTAATAATATAATCAAATCTTGACATCTCCTTGTATGTATCAGTAATATATGGTCTGTTTGTTTGGCTGTAATTGGTTTTCTGAAAAATGAATTACTGAAATTTGAATTACTAGAACTGGAAAATGAATTACTGAAACAAACACGAGAATTCGGGGAAAACCAATTCCGTAATTCAAATTACGGCAAACAAACACACCCATAGTTTCTTTCCAAATGCCATATAATCTCAAATGTTTAATTTAAATACTAAAAACAATTCTAGTACGCTAATCAAGAAAAACAATGTAATCAGCAATGAAGAAGACTTTAACATAATGAAAAGTAGAAACCATGATCGATTTATTAACAAAGTTGGGAAAATTTTCTAACATCTTCATGTTTAAAAGAGAAGGTGAAATAGATACTTACCAATTTAGTTACCATACATTATTCAGCGTAACTATTTTAGAAAATGTTAAATCTTTTAAATTTTATTATAACTGAATGTTCCTCACCGAATGTCTACAACTCATTGTTCAAAATTATTATAATTAATTTGACTTGTTCAAAATTATTATAATTAATTTGACCAGTTATTTTTCTACTAATAGTTATATGATTAAATAGAATATATGCTTAAAAATTACTATAGATTTAATAAAAACTTTAAGGATGATAAGAACAAGTTTACTATGGTCAAAAGAAGTACAAGATAGTAATTATTAAACTTTGATAAATGCTAGAGGGAGGATGACAATTAACAACATAATATTTCTTTTTGATAAAATTAACGACACAATATTTAACTTAAAAGAAAACGAAAAAAATATTTATGATAACTATTAGAATGAGTGACAAGAATTATTTAACATATTTTAAAAAAGAGCAACTCTGAATGGTTCACCCAAGTATTAACACGTGTTAGACATTGACTGGTCATGGGAATCTTTGTGTTTGGAAGAAAGAAGATGATAGAAGTGGTGTTGAACGACAGGCTAGGGAAGAAGGTGCGGGTGAAGTGCAACGAGGACGATACCATCGGCGACCTCAAGAAGCTCGTTGCCGCCCAGACCGGAACCCGACCGGACAAGATCCGAATCCAGAAGTGGTACACCATCTACAAGGATCACATCACCCTCAAAGACTACGAGATTCATGACGGAATGGGCCTCGAGCTCTACTACAACTAATCCCTCCCTTCGTTTTTGGTAATTTTTTTTTGTTCTTTTCACTTGTTTCCATGTCTGATTACATAACCTTCTCTTCAATTATTCCGTAATCGTCTGTAAAACTAGGACGAGAGATCCCTGGTTTTTATTCGTTTTTTCATTGTGTTAAATTAACTATGAGCCTATGGAATCAGCAGGGGCGTGGCTGAGGGTGTGTAGGGTGAGAGATCACGTAGGCCCCAAAAAATAGGGTCTTGAAATCGAGTATATCTATCAGTTGTTGTCATTAATAAACATAAAAATAGAGGCCTCAAAATCGAGTATATCAATCAATTGTTGCCATTAAGAATCATAAAAATAAAGACCCCGAAATTGAGTATATGTATAAGTTATTGCCATTAAGAAGCATAAAAATAGGGGTCCCGAAATCGAATGTATCTAAAAAATAGGGATCTCCTTATAAGAATTTACACATGACCCCGATAACCTAGCCACGGCCCGGGAATCGGTCTAGATGGCATTCAAATAGTGCATTCTGTATAAGCCACTAAACTAATGCCAAAGTGTTTATTTTAATGAATAAATGGCGCTTTAATTTCTGAATTTCGAGCTGTTTTTGTTTATTGACATTTTTCTTGTTACCTGCGTCGACGTTTTTTCCTGTGTTATATAGTTCATTCTAATGTATTCTATTTGGCCAAATTGGGTAGGATAAGGTTAAGGTGGGTTAAGAAGTGGGATAAATTGCAACTTATTTGGTGTGTGTATATTGTATTACGCATGATAACCCCATGTTGCAGATAGAGAGAAAATATGATTTTTTTTGGTTAGATGGGTGAATTTTTAAAATTTTAAGATAGTCGAACTCATAAAACTGATTATCAATAAAAAATACTAACAAAATATCTAATGTTTTTTTGTGTGTGCGCGCTATGGGGAAGTGTAATGGCTAGGATCCCTTATAAACAAGGGTTAAGAAAATATCTCCATTCCCTTGGATCTTGACTTTCTTTGTGTTGAAACATTCTGTTTGTTGGTTGACACACGACTCTGTTCGCTGAACTTCGGAAAGCAGTCTTTGCAATGTTATTTCAGAACTGAAATCCCGCTCTGGTGTTGAGGGATAGTGCGTTGTTTTAAACCCTGTTTGGTGTGCTTATTTGATCGATGAGAATTAAATTCTAACAATTTGTTGTTCTCAGCCCTGGATCCTATGAGAAGATCATGAATTTATTTAGCTTTTAGATTGTGAAACATTTGCAATTCAGTATGGTTTGACGTTATTTAATGATAGTTTTATGATGTTCATATAAGATGACGAAGATGCAATAGAGATCAAAGATATCTTTCAACTATAAGGAAATGACTGGAATGTCCTTCAGGAAAGTGTTTATAATCTGTTCATGAATCCAACTCTTGGGCTATCCAGATCCTTGTGATTTGGTTAATACAAAAACAAAAGAAAAAACTTGTGTTGAAGTTTGTGGAAGTATGCATGTCGCTGTTTAAACACACCTGCTTTTCTTTAGTGCTGAATCATGAAATATTCTCTGGTTAGCCATTTTATTGTCATAATAAACTGGTTGCATGAAAATGCAGTTCCATGAGCGGTGAAGAACAGCCTCTCTTCTCTATGGCTCCCCAACCGGAATTTTTCTTTGTTAATATTGCACATTTTGTGAGGCATATAATTAAAGGTACATGTACAATATTTTATGTTAGATGGGAGAATTTATAAAATTTTAGAGGAAAACAAAAATAAATTGTCAATAAAAAATACAAATAAAAGATCTAAAATTTTCATGTCAATTCAAATAGACATGTACACTAACATTTTCTTTTAGGTGTAATTATACCACTCCGCCATTCAGGATTTAACGGCAGTTCCGTGCTATGATGTTGCTAACGTGGATGCCTCACCAAAACGATGTTATTTTGATATAATTATTTTGGTGCTCAATAAACACAAAATGAACGCCATTTTACTTGAAAAAATTATTGAATTATTGTGCGACAGAAAGGATTCGACAAATTTATTCTCATAAATACTTAGTGCGATGAGCATAGACAACTTTTGACATTCAGATATCACTAAAAAAATCGATCCCAAAACCAGGGCGATCAAAACCAAAACAATCAAGCTATCCTGAATCTTCTTTCTAAAATCCCTCAAATCAACCCAAAAAAATAGTACTCGGTGTCAAATGATACGATGCAAATATTATTTTACGACTGATGCATATCGTTCATCTTTAAGAATTGATCCAGTATAAATGTTATTTTATTATTTTGATTGGCATCATGATTTTTTTGGGTTATTTAATATTTAGAATATTATTTAATTTGGCTATCTAATTTTAATTTTTTACATAGATCAAACTAGAAATTGAAGAGAACCCCTTACTTTGAAGTTACAAATTTAAAGAACTTCAAAAATACTTATTATTATTTTTTAATTTTAATCCTTTTAAACTTTAGATTGTGAAAGTTGGAATAATGCATCAAGTGCACTGTAATTTATTTTTATAATACTTTTAAGGGTAAATTACACGTTTAGTATTTAAATTACCGGGTTTTGTAAATTTTAATATTTAAACTATCGGTTTAGATACTAAATGTGTAGGTTATCTACTTTTTATTCTAAGATTGCTATATTATTTTTATAATTAATATTACTTAATCTATTTAGCTTCATATATGTCAAAAGGATGATGGAAGCTTCAAGACAACAAAATCCAATTTAAATGTATAAAACTTTGTTTCCATCTTACTCTAATCATGTAATTAATTTGCACTCCCGACTTTCTCTGCAGAGAAAAAATGTCTGTTTTGATAACCGTAGCTAACGTTAAGTCTAGCGTTTCCCATTGTAATGGTTGCTTCACCAGCCATACCTATCGTATTGAAAAGATACAAGTGTTCCGATGAGATGGATCGAAAATTTTTTTATTAAATTTATATAACTTTTTTATATTTTATATTTAATTTTAGATCTTTTAAATTTTTAATATAATTATTTAGATTCGTATCTCTAATGTAAATTTATGTGTTAATTTTTATGCACAGTCGAATGATTTCACCGTTGAATAACACATGCCTGCCTTCATAAAAGTTACAGTGAATGGCCAGTGGAACTTCAATTAAATTGATACAAAAGTACCCACTTGCTCCTTGCCCTAAAAAGTTCATATAATTCAAACGAACAACCAACCACACCCAATATTTAGTTAATAGGAAATTGTCAGAGATGTGTAATTGTTTTAAAAATGAGTTCATCTACAACAACTACTTCCAGTTATTTTATAAGGCTAGGGTGGGTAATGCTCATAATAAAGAGTACTAAATGTAAATCAACCCTCAAACATTATATCTAATTACGTTAATCGTGAACTAATTCAGTGATCTTAGTGATAAAATATATTATTATATTTAAAGAAATTATGTTCAAATAGTTACATTTGTGTAATATATATTATCAATATATTAAGAAAATTCTAGACATGTACTAATTGGTCATTGTAAAATATAGGCAAAAAGGCATTCAAGGTCCATGTACTTTTGAAAAAAAATGAATGTGACCCTCATATTATTTTCTCTCTCAATGTGACCCTCCAACTCAGAAAATAAACCTAATGTAGTCCTTTGACCATTGTTCTTTCTTCGTTAACTGTTATGGTGCTAATGTATCAGTTCATGATGTTAACATGACAGTCCATGACAGCAGATTAACGGGGCTGATGAAATAGTAGTTTGACTAAATTGGTAACTCAAACATGACAGATGAACTATCATGTCAGCACCGTGAATTGACACACCAGTACTGTAACGATCAACAACAAAAAACGTTGGTCAAAATATCACATTGAGTTTATTTTTTGAGTTGAACATTGAAAAGAAAAAATAATACGAGAGCCGCATTAATTTTCTTTCCTAAAAAGTATATGGATCTCTTACACCTTTTTGCGAAAAATATATTTGTCTATTGCAGGAGTGGAATACCAGCTTCTGCACTTGAAGATTTCTACATTTTGAACCATAATTAATTAATTATATCCAAATTTTCACCAATACTTTGAAGTATGTAATCCTTTTTTCTTGATTTTGTTTTCAGTGTCTAACTCCAAACAATGATAGCAATACTTTTTTTGGGAAAAATATAAGCTTTGTCTCGGGGGCCAATGTATTTTTTTTTTACAATTTAAAAATATATATGGGTAAATATTAAATTAGATCTCTTAATTTCAGTTTATTTTAATTTTTTCTTCTTATTTCTATGGTTAATTATACTTTGTCCCCTTAAACTGGTATCATGGCTTCATCATTGGTCCCCCAACCATAGGGCATTACTTTGTTGAGTTTTCTGACTATTAAAAGTTATAAAATGATCTCTCAATTATAAGACATTGTTTTATTGAGTCTTCTGACTATTAAAAATTACAAAATGATCACTTGTCTATTTATATGTTCTAAACTTGTCATTTTCCGTTAAAAATTGACTATCACCTAAGCTATTTGCTAACCTGTTGACTAAGACATGGTAAAATCATTATGCCTACTAGCACCGCCGTTGCTTTCAAGCACTAGCTCGATGACAATGTTTCAAGTACTGGTTTGATGACATAATGTAAACTGAGAGTTAATCCACAAAATATAGCTCACATAATCACAAGATCAGATTTTATCATATCTCATTCAACATATTAATATCTAACTCAGATGATAACAGAAAAAGACGTATTTGGAACATATGAATAGTCAGGTGGTCATTTTATAACTTTTAATAGTTGAAGGACACATCAAAATAACATCCTACCAATAAAGGACCATTTTATAATTTTTAATAGTCAAATACACAACAAAGCAGTAACCAGTATCCGAGAGAACCGTTTGCGTACTTTAATTTTTATATTCCTATGAGAGGAATCTTGAAGGGCATTTATTTGAAGGGTCATAAATTCTGGAGGGCTATTGAATATGTTTTGGCACGAAGCTTAAGGATGCATAGACAAAACGTGAAACTAGTCCAGGATTTGCACCGTCGAAAATAACAGCACTTGTTGTGAATCACTCCCAAAGTTAATGCATCTTATTCAATGCCGAAATTTCCAAGCATACCCGATTGTTTAAAATTTGATATTATATTTGATGCATTGCACATTAACTACATTATAATAAAAATATTAAAATATTTATTAAAAACACTAAAAAATTTATTTAAATATAAGGGTAAAGTACAAAAATGGTCCTTCGATTATAGGATATTACTTTATTAAGTCCCTTGACTATTAAAAGTTACAAAATAGTCATTCGACTATAGAATGTTACTTTGTTAAGTTCCTCGACTATTAATAGTTACAAAATGATCATCCTCATTATGTTCCAAACTCATCATTTTCCGTTAAAAATTGATAATTGTTTAAGCTGGACATTAACATGATGACTAGGATATGATACTCGTTTGAGATTCTTTGACCGAGTTTTTATCATATCACAGTCAACAGATTAACATTCAACTCAGAATACCGTCCATTTTTAGCAGAAAAGGATGAGCTTGGAACATAATGAATAGTCAGGTGATCATTTTGTAACTTTTAATTATCGAGGGACTCAACAAAGCAATACTCTATAGTCAGATGATCATTTTATAACTTTTAATAGTCGAGCGACTTAATAAAGTAGTATCATATAATTGGAGGACCATTTGTGTAATTTATCCTAAATATAATTAAACAATAATAAACAAAAACTATATTTTAAAAATATAATACAAACTTTATCTTCTAACAATATCCAAGGGCGGATTCACTCTGTACTTAGGGTAGATAAATGTCCACCTTAAAATATGATTTTTAATTCGAATAATTATCTATTTTATATATTGTACTTGTTCTAAAATGTTATATGTGTCTATTATGTACGAAAATTTTATATTTTTTTAAAATATATGTATCCACTCTCAAAAGTACTTATGGATTTGTTATTGTCAATAACTATAAAGTTTATATTTGTTAATTTTTTAATAGTATTGTATGATTATAAGGTAGTATGTGTTCAAAATCTTTCTTAATCATTGACAACGCATACACACTCATCAACTACTTGAACTCAAGACTTCTAAAGAAATTAATACTCCATTTAGACATTGAGACCACTTACTTGATTCATATACTTGTTAATTTTTTTTTATTAATCTAAGGTGATTA